GCCCTCTCCCCCTTCTCTCCTCCCTGACCCTTCGTGCGCCGCGGCGGTTTCCCTCTCGAGACGCGGCGTCACGCCGCGACGCCGCGCCGCGCTCCGTCGCGGCGCGCGCTGCCGCCGCGAGCGCTGGCCGCCGCGGCCGCCGCGGCGCGCGCCCAGGCCGCGAGCGAGGGGGCTGGGAAGGTCGGAGGGCGTCGACTCGCGGGACCGACGGAGGGGGGAGGAGAAGGGAGACGGATGAGGAGGGAGGGGGGGGGGGGAAGGGAGGAGGAGAGAGAAGATTATGAGGAGGGGGAGGAGGAGAAAAGGGAAAGAAATAATGTAGGAGGGGGGAGGGGTGACAAGGGGGGAGGGGAGTGGCAGATCCTGCGCATCTGAAGCGGGAGGACTGCAAAGGGGGCTGATTGATCCTAGCGAATTTCCAACCTCATCATTGTCCTTCGCTCTTCCTCATCGCCCTCCCGTCATTTTTCTCCTCACCGTTCCCCTTCTCATCCTTGCTCGTGCTTCTCATCCTCCCTACCGCGGTCATGGTCATCCCCGTATCCTGTATCCCCGCGCGGGCTGAACCCCATCTTCCGCCGTCTCCTCATCATCATCCTCCTCTCTCTGCCCCTCCTCACTTCCTCCTGATCCTCGTCCTCATGTCCTCCGTCTCCAGCTTCTCATGTCAATCCGCACGCCCTCCCTCTCCCCTCTGTGCACTCCTGGTACTGCCTCTCCCTCCTTCTCCTCTCTCTTCGCTGCCTCGCCCCCCGCTCCCCCACCCCGCGCGGCGGCGGAGCGGGCCGTCACGGGCCGTCACGGCGGCGACGGCCCTTCACCCACCTGGCAGCGGAGCCGTCACCCACTCCACCCCTCCACCCCCCCTCCCTCCGCGACCTCCTCATCCGTCATGTTCTTGCTTCTGCTGCTGCTGCAACTGCTGCTGCTCCTCTTCCTCCGCCTCCTCCGACTCCTCCCATCCCATCCCTTATCCACCTCTAAATCGTCATCCTCCTTATCCACCTCCTCCTTCTCCTCCTTCACTCGTCCCCCCTCCTCCACCTCCTCCTTATCATCCTCGTCATCCTTCTCATGCTTCCCCACCTCGTCCACTCGCTCCACCCCCGTCCTCCATCCGCCTCCTCATCCGCATCCTCATCCCCAGGCCCATCGCGTTCCTGTCCTCATCCTCATCCCTCCCTCATCCCCCCCCCTTCTTCCCATCCGCCTGTCCTCTCATTCGCCGAGCCGGCGACTCCGACCGACCCTCCTTGGTTTTTATCCGAGGCCACCCTCAGGCTGAGGGCCCCTCCTCAGCGAACCGCGAAATTGTCGTCCTTTTTCTGCATCTTCGCGCGCTTGAGGGCGGGCATCGAGTCCCAGTACCCAGTCGCCCTCCAGCAGCGCTTCTTGATGACCTGCTCGCCTCCACGGAGGAGAGAAACGCTCGTAAGTTTGTTCCTCGTTATCTTCCGCCTACTCCTCCTCTTCTTCGCCTCTGCTCCTGCCCCCGCCCCCCCCCCCATATGGCCCATCCTCTTCTCCGCCTCTCCTCATCCCCATGCTCTCCATTTCCATTTCCCCCATCGCCGCATCCTGCTCACCTTGGATTATCCCCCTTATGTGCCCCTTGTCCTCCTGGCGACGACGGCAGCGACAGCGGGCCTTTCTCCGCCTCCGCGCCCTCCTCGCAGAGGCTGTCCTCGAATTTCTCGTCCTCGTCCTGGGCCAGGGGGGGGCGTAATCTACTTTCCTGAACCCGATGTGCTAGCACACCTTTCCCGGGCTCGTCACCAAACCTCCTGCGCCCTACCTTCCTCGTTCGCCCCCTCCCCCACCCCAACCGCCACCGACTCTTCTCTGTATGTTCCCTGACCGTCCTCCGAGTCCAGCTCGACCTCCAAGGGGACGAGGTGCGGCATCACGTACGTGACCTTGCGCTCTAATACCTCGACCTCGAAAGGTTTGTACCACAAGCCGTGCGTGGGCTTCAGGGCCTGATCGCTCTGCCCCCCCCGTCGCACCGCTGCTACTCTCATCTCTCGAGTTCTCTTGGCCTCATCATGTTCCTGCCTCGCCCGATCCTCTTCCTCGTTCTCCTCCGTCTCACCCTCCTCCTCCTTCTCCGCATCCATTCCCCCGCCCACTCCTCCTCCTCTTCCCCCTCCTCCTCTGTAGATTCCTCCTCCTCCCCCTCGTTCTGCTATCCTCCTCCTCCACGACCTCACTTTGCCCCTTTTTCGTCCTCCTCTGCTTCGCCGCCCCCCGCCCTGCAAAGACGCCGCCGTCGCCGTCGCCCCTGCCGCCGCGCCAGGGACATGGGCGGCCTCCACTTGCGGCGACGGGGGGGCGCCTATCGGGGGAGGGGGGCCGAGGATGGGACGGGCGCAAGGGTGGCCCTCGGACGTCGCTTGGGGAGTGGGGGGGTTGGTTGGGGGATTGGGGAGCGGGGGATTCGGGGATTGGTTGAGAGGCCCAAGGAGGGATTGGTTGAGAGGCCCAAGGGTGCCATCTCTGACGATCGCCATGCTGTTCGCGGATGGCCCTCTAACCCCTGTCCTACGACTCTCCTGGCAGCTGCCTTGTATTTTCTTGCCGCTATTCCCCCTCTCCATATGACGTATCCTCCTCCTCAGCCTCCTCCTCTCCTCCTTCCCCTCCCCCTCCTCCTCATCCTCCTCCTCCTCGCCCCCCTCCATGCCCCCCGTCTACTTTCACTTGCACCTCGCGGATTTATGCCTCCGCTTCCTCTCTTTGTGTTCTCTCTCTCTCTCTCTCTCTCTCTCTCTCTCTCTCTCTCTCTCTCTCTCTCTCTCCCTCTCCCTCCCTCTCTCTCTCTCTCTGAGTATCTCTCCTCTCGCTCTCCTCTCCCTCTCGACGTCGACCCCGCCTCGGCTCGACCCATCGAAGCGTCGACGCAAATATGTTTTATCGACCCGAGGCCCCGAGGACAGGGTCACAGCCGCCGCTGCGCAACACGGCACGCGCACGACCTGGGCGCACCGCGCCCAACGCACTGCCATCAATTGGTCTGGTCCACCGTCGGCTGCGGAGTGCTTGAGCTCGAAGGCGGCTCATTCGTCAGCCAGCGCGGCGCAGGCCCACCCGACGAGCTCGATCCACTAGAGCCCCCACGAGGCACGCGAAGATCAGTAGCTCGAAGGCCGAAGTCCTTTGGGGACACAAACGGAAATTCTCAACCCCTTCGGCTTAGCCCCACCTTGGTGCAACCCCCCGCCTCACCACGCCACCCCCCGTCCCACACACCCTCCTTCGCCCACTTGCCCTGTGCGAACTTCGACGCGACAACTGGAAACTGGGCGGCTACGCGCCGCATGGTGTCCGTGTTGCCGACGATGATGCGAGTGTCGAACCTCTCGCCTGCGTTCATGCGGTCCAGGTGCTCCTCCGTCAAGCGGTGCATGAACACGCCGTCGATCTTCCACTCCACCCACCACGTCTTGTCCTCCTGAAAATGGGTGCCGAACCAACATCTCCAACACCGCCATCATTGCCCCCCCGCCCCCCGTGCGTTCAACCGTCATCCTTGTTCTCGCCTTCCTTCTCTCCCCCATCTCCTCCTCCTCCTCATCTTTCGCCTCCTCCTCCTTCTCATCCTCCTCCTACTCATCCTCCTCTTCTTTCTCCCCCTCCCCCTCCGCGTCCTCATGCCTCTTCCCCCGCATCGTATCCGCATCCGATATATTCCTCTTCGTTCTCTTCCTTTTCCTTCGCCTCGCCATCGTCTCTGAGATCACCCCTGGTCCCCCCACGTCCCCCTCGTGGTTGCATATTCTTCCCCTCGCCGTTACCTCGTCATCTGCCGTTCGCCCCTGGCTCCTTCGGCTCCACCTCAATGGCCCGCTCGCTAGGCGGGTCGCCGAGGACCCCGAAGACGAACGGCCCCATCCACTCCATGGACCAGAAGGAGGAGCCACCCGCCGTGGAACTCGGCCTTGGGCAGCAGACAACGGACGATGCCCAACGATAAGACCTACGCCGACGACGGTGCAACGACGACGACAACCACGAGCCCAGACGAGCCAGCCACGCATGTCGGGCAGCATGTCGGCGATAGAGGACTCCTAGACGAACGACGACGATCACGACTGTCCTCGGTATGAGAAGGAACGCCGCGAGAACCAGGACAAGGCAGATAGCCCGACAGCATGAAAGGATTTAGGAATTCCCAGCAGCCTTGTTGGGGGAGGCGCATCTTCGGACTCGGGGAGGCGCATCTTCTTCTGAGGCGCCTGGCAGTGGCAACGATACGACACCCCTCCTTTCCATGCTATGATCCCTGCTCTTGCTGATGCCCCTGCTACTGCGCTTGACTTTACGCCACTGCCGAATATGGCATGATGCTTGCGATTGTAAGGCGCTTGCTAATGGTGTATTCCTGCAGCATGGATCGCCCGTGACGTTCGCTGCATGTCTCAAAGACAAGAAAAGTGCCGCGCCTGCATACCGCCAGCATCAACGCTCCGCTTCACGACGTCGCGGTGCACGTCGTCGCCGTTCGTGATCTGACACCGCCCCAGCAGAAGAAACTACTGAGGCAGGCGGGCACGCGTAGCAGGGTAAGCGAGAAAGAGCGGCCATGGGAAAACAGGAGCTGGGAAGGCAACGCTGCCAATGGAAAGGCAAACTGAACTGATATGGAGGGAAGGCAAGGCATATAAACGCAGATAGGCTTAGGGCGTAGAGCGTCTGAGAGAGAGCGAGAGAGGTTGAGACCCAGAGACAACCGAAAAGAGTCAGAGGTGATAGGCGGACTTCGCTCGACTAGGGGGGGGGCGACGACTCGACTAGGCAAGCGAATTCGGTGAAGGCCAATCTGAGTTCACCCCCTCTCCCTCCACGCGCCAGGACAGCATCGACGAGGGCGTCGGGCGCGCCGAGCTGAACTTGAGGACTGGACTTGCCTCGGGCGGGCATGGGTAAACAGGAGGAGCTGACGAGACTCCGAGACAACCACCCAGGCACGGCCCAAGCAGCGCCCCCCCCCCTGCCCCCGCCTGCTCGTCGTCGCCAGCGGTGTCGCGCGCGATCTCCTCCTGAGCAGCCGCCGAGCCAGCGGGGTCAGCATCTTCTTCTGCGCCGCCAGGGGGCTCGGGCTCGGACGACGAGTCGAAGGCAGAGTCCTTGAGGTCCTCCCTCAGCCCATGCGCATGAGGATCGGGCTCCAGCGAGTCTGGAGGTAGAGAACCCTGCGCGTCGTCGAAGAGGGGGTCCTTGAGCGGGCCCATCGCAGGAACGAGCTCAGACTATCGAGCCAAGCGCTTGGCCCCGTAAAGAAAATAAGCAAACCAACCTCGAGCAAACCAAGCTACAGACAAACAGCACAGGGCTTGGGGAATGAAGATCGATGTTCGCTGTGATCTCTACAGGGGCTGGAACCTACGTGGGGGGTGGCCTTGCCGCGTGCACCTCAGGCGAGGCCCACCCCTCCCTTGGAACAAGGTGGCGTGATCTGGGGTCTGAACAATGAACAATGGGATGGTCATCATCCCCCTCCTGGCAACTTCAGACACCTCAGGGGATCACACGTCGAGAAGCGAGAAACTCGGCAAGGCCGAGCGCAATTGCATGCGGCAGAAATTGACCCGCCCCCGTTTGCCACCCCCCTCCAGGAGGACAGGGGAGGAGGAGGGGAGGTGAGAGGGGGGGCAGGGAGTAAAAGAGGAGGAGGAGAAGGAGGAGAGGAATAAGGAATAGCAGGATGACATTGACTGACACTGAGGAGGACCAGGAGGAGGCGGAGGAGGAAGAGGAGGGCGAGGGGGAGGGGGGGAGGAATAGGAGGATGAGGAGGGGGAGATGAGGAGGAAAGGAACGACGACGAGAAGCGAGGCAAGCAGCAAGGGAGAGAGAATCGCCAGGCCTTCTTCGGCCTGGCCAGCCGCTTGGCCTTGCCCTTGCCCTTGGGCTTGGCCACTGCCTTCGGCTTCGGGACAGGGGCCACCAGCCAGCCCGGGCTGAAGTCCGTCCTCAATGGGTTCATCCAGTGACTCCCCTCGACGTACAGCTTGGGCGGCTCCCACCCATTGCTCACCGTGTACCCTGCCTCTGGGCCCTCGTCCTTCGGGCCGTTCAAGCTCAGGCAAGATCCTGCGGGCATGTGCACGACGGAATCAGCTCACAACAAAGAAACATGCCCCATCGAATTGCACCTATGTGGCCAAAAACTCCCCCCGTGAGAATCACCGAATAGCAAAACCATTTTCTCGATAGTAGGTCGTTCCTATTTTCCTTAGATGTCCCCTGTAATGCATTATCTCAACTAGCATGTTGTCCTTCCTCAAACTACCGTATGTTCACACTTAGCATCGGCTCACAAAAAAAAAACAAACCTGAATCCTGTCTCTCACGGCCCCAATGAAAGATTTCCCTTGCACATCGCCCCCTCATCATGCTGATCCCCCCTCATAGCCCCACATCGCTACAACAAACCTAGCTCCTCTGCTCATGTAATTCGCCGTGTCGACGTCAATCACCTTCCCGAACATTGGGATCGTCAATTCTCCGATGTCTGTGCCGTGCCGCTCCAGGATCCACTTCGCCTTCTTCGGGCCATCGTCGGCGACGGCATCCTGGGGGGCGCAGGATTCGGGCGGGGATGGCATGGACAAGTATGAGGGATGTGGGTCGCACGATGTCTGGGCCGCGCGAGTAAAATGCATGCGGTGGGAGTACGCATGCAAGCAATGCACCCTTTTCACTTTCGAGATGAGTAAACAATCCTGCTCGTCCTCTTGCTTGCTCTTCTTTTTCTCCGTGGTCAGGAAGATGTTCGAGCCCTTGTGTCCGTATGTGTACGGTTCCTCCTCGGGTGTCTTCTTCTTCTTCTTCATCTCACCAGTCTCAGTGGTCGTCTGCCGCGAAGCCGAACGTGACGACGCGACCGATAATGGCGACCGCGGCTCCGCTGGCACGATCGAGTCGGCTGAACACCCGCATGCGTCATCTGGCAACAATTCCCCCAATTCTTTCTCCAATTGCTCGTCTAGGGAAACGGGGATTTCGTGCATGCCGTAAAACTGGATGCCGAACTCCGTGATCTTGCTCTGCACAGCATTGATCACCGCCTTCTGCCACAAAGCAATCTCTGCCCCACTCATCTGCTCCTGCCAGACATAAGCAATACGATGGGATAACTAAAGGGAAGGGTGCGTGCGACTGAAGTGGCACAACTGCCACGGCCATGCGACATCTAAGTCAAGGTGCTGCTGAAGCCCGCCAAACCAAACTTGATCGAGAGGGAAGCAGCAAGGCGGCTGAGGAGGGGGGGGGGCACGCCCGCGTTACGAGAGGGACTGACGCGATCCTTAGCCATGGTGCCGTTCCAGTGGCCCAGCAAGGAGTGGTCGGGCGCGGCCTTGATGAACGCGCCGTCCTGCTTGCCCTCGTCGTCGCCCGCTGTGCCGCCGACGTCAGCAGCTGTGCTCGCGCGCACACTGGCGCTGGAGGCGGCATTCAAAATTGCATATTTCGTGCACCCCTCATCTGCTCTTCTTCCTCGCTCTCCTCCTCGCACACCCCCCCATCATTATTGCCTTCCTTCTCTCCCTCCCCCTCCTTCTCCTACCGTGCGTATCCTCCTTGCCATCGTCCTTCTTCTCCTCCTCCTTCCAACTCATCCTCCTCGTTCGCCTCCTCATTCCCTCTTTCCGTCCACCGTGCTGTCGTGGTTGCGTGGCTGTCTGGACTTCCTGAGCGCCTGGACGCGTCGCGCTACTTTCCGTTGCCTCTGCCCTTCCATTTGCCATGGCCCTTGCCCCGAGGCCCATTGCCCCAACCCCTGGCTCATGATCGAGAGGCGGCAAGGGAAGGGAGATATGCGAATGCGGAAAGAGAGAACGAGAGAGAGCGAACAGACAAAGGCCGCTGGACAAGTTCAGCATGCATGGGAGGGCGGAGGGGGAGATAGCAAAACAGCGAGTAAGGCAGGGTGGGCGATGGACAAGGCCGAGCAGAAACATGGTGTCTGTCCTGGCTTTGGCCTTGGCCCTCTCGGCCTCAGGAGGCACCAGCGAGCGCTTCCACTTGCTGCTGAACGCCATCCACATGTCGTTCATGGCCAGGCTCGCCTCCATCGCGCCTGCATTCTCCTGCTGGGGTTGGGGAACGGAGCCCAGGACGAGTGACAATGTATTTCCGAGCTTCTTGTCAAGCGAGAAAGGGTGTCAAAGTGTTTTTGTTTGGGGGGGGTCTAGGCGCCGCCTCGGATATGTTTCCAAGGCCCGCCTGCCCCCTTCAAAAGCCAATGCATCTCAAGTTCTCTCAGTGGTGCCCCCTGTGGCGCCCCTGGTCGAACTGCGCCATGATGGCGGCCGCCATCTTCTGTTTCTCCGCGGGCAGGGCGCCCTCGCCCTGGGACCCGGGCCACTTGAAGCCCTGGCTCTGGATGTATTTGTTCTCCAGGGTGAAGGCCCGAATCTTCGCGGGGTCGCTCAGCGCAGAAGAGATCGTCTTGAGCAAGACGTCCTGCGTGCTGGGCCACGCTCCACTCGCCCCGGGGGTCAGCAGAGACCAGCCAGTTGCAGAACAATGTCACTTCCGACATCATGTGCGTGAAAACCTAGCAGGGGTCGCCACGAGAAACTCCACTCGCCCCCCCCCCCCCCGTGCGATCGCGCCCCTGGACGAGAAAAAGGGGTAGAGAGGTGGGCAAACCGAAGCGCGGAGGAGAGGGCGCATGGGGCTCCTCATCCTACGCCCCCCCCCCACCCCTACCCTTCTGCTCGTCTTCCATTGCTGTCGCCCTCTTCCCTCCGTTTCCCCCATCAGCGCCCCTTCCCTTTCGCCCCATATTCCTTGCGTGCTCGTTTCAGCCCTCCCTGACGCGAGCCTCGGGCCACTGCGTCGGTCTCTTCGGGCTGCCGGTGACCAGCTGCTCGGCCTGGGCGCAAGTGGGGGATGCTGGGCTCAAGCGAGCAGTCAGCTCCGTCAAGAAGCGGTGCATCACTGGGCTCAGGTACGCCCTCATCTCCAGCAGCGGGCCCTGTCTCACCTGCGGGAAGCCAGAGAAGGACAGCGAGGACGAGCAGGAAGATGAGGGCGAGGATGCGGGGGAGAAGGAGGAGAGAAGGGGGAGGGGATAATAAGGACGATGGGGAGGAGGAGGGAAGAGAGGAGGAGCCGACGAGGAGGAGGAGGGAGAGGAGGACGAAGCGGAGACGGAGGGTGACGAGGAGGAGGAGGAAGGTGAAGAGAAGGAAGTGTAGGGGAAGGAGGGGGGGGGGGGGGATAGGGTGAACTATAGGATGCGGCCGATGATAGGGGAGAGGAGCAGGCCGATGAGGAGTAGCATGAAGAGGAGGAGGGGGGGGGGGAGAAGAAGGAGGAGAAGCAGCTGCAGCAGCAGCGCAGGCAATTGCCCAACTGAGACTTCCAAGAGGAGCAACACCCGCGCGCACGCCTGACACTGCTGAAGACCCAGCGACGTGACAATGTACAGAATGAGGCTTGCCCTCGAGGACCCCAACCTGAGCATGTCGCAGTTGGCCTCAACCAAATCAACCACCGCAAGGTTGTGCGAGAGGGCGCCCACGTGGCCGTGCTTCTTCACAAGATCAACGAGGCGCGCGGCGCTGTCCCATTCCGCAGGGGTCCTGGCCATGACCTGGCCCATCGCCTGGCAAGAAAGCCAGGAAAGCAACGCCGTGGGATGACAGAGAGGAAACGTAGAACCAGACTGGCGTAGAGCGGGGGGCAGTTTCATCAGATGAGCGCCACCTCAACAACGCGCGAAGCATGGCGCATGGGGTTTACAGCGACTAGACACGGGAGTTCACATGGGCGCACATGTCCAGAGAGACAACTCAATGGAGGCCACCCTAAAGAAGGACATGCGCATGGCGAGCACATGTTGGGCCCCCGCGCCGCGCGGAGGAGGCCACATCGGGATGGAGAGGGGTCGCGCAAGCACGGCAGCACAAGCGCAGCACGGGAAGAGGAGGTCAACGGCACATGAAAAAGGAAACATTGGCCGATCTGCCTTCTCAACCAAGCAGTCGAAGGCGGCGCCCTCGTTCGGAAAGCTCCCACCGCTTGAAGCCAACGTGCCGAAGATCCCCATCATGGCCCCGTTAAGCATCTCGGCAGAGCACGCCAGCAGCATGGGCATTTTGGTGAAAGCCTGCCAGGGCGCGGTAGCAACAATAACTTCACCCACCCAACCCTCCTCGACCCCTTCAACCCCCGGGCAGCGCCTCCTGGCTTCGCACGAAGTCCCACAAGGCCAGCAGCACCGCGTCCTCCTCCTGAACCTGCTCGAGCAGATCTGCAGCTGGAACGGCAGTCCCGCCATCCGCCTCGGCGAAGCTGGCATCCATCGAGGCGTCCTCCAACGCCTGCGCTGAAAGGAAAGCAATCCCCCCCCCCCCCTATCCTCATCCACATCCTCCATCTCATCCTTCTCCTCCTCCACCCCCCCCCGTTCTTCTCCCCCCTCGTTTCTCCGTCTCGCCCTCCGCTTCCTCCCCCCGCGCTCCTCCTCATGCCCTCCAAATAAAAAAGAAAAAAAAAAAAAAAAAAAAAAAAAAAAAAAAAGAAAAAAAAAAAAAAAAAACAAAAAAATAAAAAAAATGAGACAAAATGAAACAAAAAAAAAAAAAAGAAAAAAAAAAAAAAAGGGCCTAAAAAAAAAAATAAAAAGAAAAAAGGACTGGCTGGCCTCGCTCATCATCGGTGCATCCTCTCCACGCTCTCGCGCGGTACTTCCCAACTCCCGTCGCCGAAAGGGAACGCTGGGAGTTTTCGTGCCCCAGGCCACCCCCCCATTCAATTGAGCCGAGCTCAGTTGCAATATTAAGTTGCCCATGCCCGCAGTGTTGAAGGAGGGGGGGAGGCCACCTTGCCGATGTCCTTCTCAGCGAGCACCTGCGCGCGCAAGGCGTCGAAGTCGGGGTCCGACGGCCTCGGCTTGAGCTGCGTGGCGCCGCAGATGTGGCGCTTGAATAGCATCCGAAGCTGCGCCCACCCAGCGACAGTCCTGCGGCGCGCTACGCCCTACCCCCCAAGCCAATCTCGTCACGGGTCCGCCACCGCGCGTCTGGGCAGCTGGGCGAAGGGGGGGGGGGCAGGGAGGGGCGGACTGAAGGCCAGGCGAGGGCGCCCAGGATGCGGGCGCAAGAAAATCCGAGGCAGGCTGCAAGCATAGGGGCGCACCAAGGAGAAGGTTCAACGGAGGGGAAGGAAGGGGGGGGGGGCGCGGAGAAGATGAAGGGCAGGGGGGCATGATGAGGGAAGGATGAAGAGGGCAGAGGACAGCGGACAGGGGCCGACTCGAGGGCGCATGAGGCGAGGCAGGCGAGGCCTAGGAGGAATAGGAGAGATGAGAAGCGTCAGCGCAGAGAGAAGAGGGGGGGGAGGAGGGGGCGAAGAAGGGAGAGGAGAAGGCGGAGGAAAGGGAGAGGAAGAGGAAGAGGGAGGGATGAGGAGGGGCGAGGAGGAAGAGGAGGAGAAGGAGGAGGACAAGGAGAGAGGCGGGGATGAGGAGGAGGAGGAGTAGGAGGACGAGAAGAGAAGGGAGGAAGGGGGCGGCAGAGAAGGGGGAGGTCAAACAGGAGGGATCGCCCCGCAAGGATCCTGGACTCGCCGTCGATCGAGACCTCGACCTTGCCATTGAAGATCCCCCAGAGCGCGGCCATGCGCATGCCCTGCACGAGCTCCTGGGTCTCGGAGCCGCCAGCCTTTGGGGATGCGGGGCCCATGCTGCTGTCGCACCTTACCCCTCTCCCCCGCCCACCCCCCCTTCCATCCTCCCTCCCCCTTCCTCCTCATCCTGCCTACCTCCCCCTGATGACTCTCCTGTTGCCCCCTCCTCCTCCTCTATCCTTGCTCACCCTTCTTCCCCTCTCCCCTCCCCCCACCCCCCCCCCCCCCCCCCCCCCCCCCCCCTCCCCCCATCCATCCTCACTCCTGACCTGCTTCCTTGTTTACATATTCCTTCCCCGGGGATCCCACAGGGGACCTTCATCAAGAAGGACTCAGTCTCGCAGAGGAAGTCTAAGAAGTTCTTCTCATTCGCGTCGTCGTCTTCTGGAGGAGCCGTCGTGGGCGTCTCCTCGATCCTCTTGGCCTGGTCCTTCAGCTTTCTCTCCTTTTTCAGCTGCTTGGTGACCATCTGGCGGACCAACTTGAGGCGACACTTCTCGTCGAGGACCTTGCCCTTGTTCTTACGGCTCCCGATGAACGCGTGGACCTTCGCCTTGTCCTTTTCTTTGCTCTCCTTGAGTTGCCTCTTAGTCTTGCTGACCTTTTCGGCGTGCTTCTTGTTGTCCTGAGGATGGCGCGACGCAGAATCATTTGCCTTGCCTCCTCCTCCTGCCTTCCTCCTTCTCCTCCTCCTCCTCGTCCTCATCGTCCTCCTCATCCTGCCTCCTCCTGTTCCGCCTCCCCCTCCTCGTCGTCAGCCTTCCCCCTCCCCCTCCCCCCCTGCTCCTCATCCCGCCTCCTCCTCCTCGTCATAATCATCCTCCCCCCCCCCTCGTCATCACCCTACCAAGTCTCCCGCATGCGGCGGTCCTTCTTGACCAACTTGATTGCCTTGCTGTCGTCCATCGTCGCGAAGAGGTGCTGCAATTGCGTCGGCGTCGGTCTTGCCGTGAGGAGAGGAAGCCCTCCTGGCAGGAGAGCGCAAGCACCCCATCCTTTCTTGCCAGCGCGGGGCATCCACAGACTGATCGCGTCTACGATGAAGTGTTTGTGGCGGGTGCCCTTCAACTTCCTCGGGCGCCATAGGGCGCCATTGATCGGGGGGGGGAGGGGGGGGGAGGAGGAGGAGGAGCGGCAGAAGAAGGACGAGGAGGAGGAGGGGGAAGAGGAGGGAGAGGAGGAGAGGGAAGAGGAGGAGAAGTAGGCAGAGGAAGGGGGCCACGAAGCAGGCAGGAGAAGGAGGAGGGAGGAGGATGAGGAGGGGGAGGGGGGAGAAGGACGGAGGAGAGAGGGGAGAAGGAGGAGAACGACGACGACGACGATTTCAGCCCGCGGGTCTTGAAGATCACGGACGCGACCGAAGTGATCCTGTCATATTGGATGGCGGCCTGGTCTGTCAAGTCCACCTCGCCCATGACCCTCGCAGCGAAGGCCTTCCAGACCGTGGCACCTTGCATCTTGTTTGTCAGCAGGTTCGTCTCGTCCACGATAGTTCTCCCCGCCTAGGCAATGAAGACAGAGAACGACGACGACGAGTGCAACGAGACAAACGATTTCTTCATCATGTCCTCCTCCTTCCGTGGGCCATCGCTGCACTCTGCCTTAGCGCCTCTCTGTGCATAGGCTCACCTCATATTGCCCCCCTCCGAAAGGTGCCATCAGGACGAAGACGACGGCGAAGAGAAAGACAACGCGGGGCGCGGAGGAGGAGGACAGGTAGAAGAAGGAGGACAATGGGAAGGAGGAAGAGAAGCTTGAGGAAAAGGAGTATCTTGAGGAGAAGGACCAGGAGAGAGCGACGTAAGGAAGAATAATAAGATGGAGGATATGGAAGA